AAAAAAAGAGAGAGATGGAGAATGATAGATAGATAGATAGATAGATTGATAGATAGATAGATAGATAGATAGATAGATAGATAGATAGATAGATAGAGAGAGAGAGAGAGAGAGAGAGAGAGAGAGAGAGAGAGACAAAAAAAGAGAGACAGAGACAGAGAACGGGAATAGAGAGAAAGAAACAGAGAGAGTGGGAGAGAGAAGGACAGAGAGTGGACAGACAGAGAGAGAAAAAGAGAGAGAGGGGGGAGAGAGAAAGAGACAGAGAGATAGAAGACGAGAGAGAGAGAAAGAGGGAAAGAAGGAGAAAGAGAAAAGGAGAGAGGCAGAGAGAAAGACAAAGAGAGAGACAGAGAGAGAGGCACAAAGAGAGAGACAGGCAACCAGACAGACAGACAGACAGACAGACAGACAGACAGACAGACAGACAGACAGACAGACAGACAGACAGACTTAAAGAAAAAGAGAAATAGAGAGAGAGAGAAAGAGAAACAGAGAGAGAGAGGAGCAACATTCACACACAAACATATTCACACATCACTGGTATCCCACCGACCAGAAATAGATTTTACTACGTGTATCTATTTTCTTGTGTCTATTAACCCTCGACGTGTACTTGGTGTTGTGAAGGGTTAACTTGAAATACCACAGTTTCATTTTTCATTCTCCCATAATAGAAAACTTCCACCCCAGCGTTGGTAACTTGTGAATAATCCTTCAGTTTTAGTTGTTTCCGAGACGACTATGGTCAAAGATGGTCCATAACAAGATTGTTCACTCAGCCAAAAAAGTGTCCGCGGAAGTCCGCGCATTGATTCAGATGGAGCTGCAGTCTTTTTTTTTTTTTTTGAAGCTCTCTTTCGTTTCTCAAGAAGAAGAATAGGAATAGCACAGTTTGTTAGTTTTGCTTTTATTGTTTTTCTCACAAGTAGGGTAACTCTGTTCGCAAAGTCCGCTCTTTTTCGAAGAGGGCGCCACCTGACTGTGAGGACACATTTTTAAACTGGCTCAGAGAGAGGAGTGAACTATCTTGTTATGTACGATCTTTGCTGTGGTGTAGGGGTCGGGCAACGTCATATAGTTCCATTCTCTTTGGGAGGTTTTTATTTCTCGAATATGTCGCCCTGTCTGTTTGGACGTTGTATCTGTCTCAGCCCGGGTTGACCCTGACAGGCGGGGTCAGAACAGCCCGTCTCTTCCACGATGGATGGTTACTTATGGTCATGTCGTGCCAGAGATCTTGTCAGTATGTTCGTGTTTTAGTTATTTATGGTCATGTCGTGCCAGAGATTTTGTCAGTATGTTCGTGTTTTAGTTACTTATGGTCATGTCATGCCAGAGATCTTGTCAGTATGTCCGTGTTTTAGTTACTTTTGGTCATGTCGTGTTTGAGATCTTGTCAGTATCGCGAGAGCTCTGTCTTGTCGGTATGTTCGTGTTTTTGCAAAGATAGTGTCTAACAAGATAGTACTCTCCCCTCTTTTCTTCGAAAAAGTGCGGACTTTGCTATCAGAGCTACCCTACTTGTGTGAAAAATCATAAAAGTGAAACTAACAATCTGTGCTATTCATTTCTTCCTCTGGAGAAACGGAAGAGAGTTTCAAAACAAAGACTGCAGCGCCATCTGAACCAAGGCGCAGACTTCCGCGGACACTTGATTGGCTGAGTGAACTATCTTGTTATGTACAATCTTTGGTTTTAGTTACTTATGGTCATGTCGTTCCAGAGATCTTGTCAGTAAGTTCGTGTTACAAAGCCTCTCAAATGGCAACTTGCACTGTACGCTTCACGGGAAGTTGTGATTGTTTGAGAATGCTATCAGGCCTGCTGGGGCAATAATATAGACCTTACTGTTGAGCGGGAATTTCCGCTATACAAATGCTATCTATCTATCTATCTATCTATCTATCTATCTATCTATCTATCTATCTATCTATCTATCTATCTATCTATCTATCTATCTATCTATCTATCTATCTATTTATCTATTATTATTATTATTATTATTTTATTATTATAATGATAATTATTATCATTATTATTATTGTTGTTGTTGTTGTTATATTACTACTACTATTATTATTATTATTATTATTATTATTATAATAATAATAATTATTATTAATATTATTATTATTATCATTATTATTATAGTTATTATAGTATTATATTATTTTATTATTATTATTATTATTATTGTTGTTGTTGCTGTGGTCTGGAGTGTGCAGATGTTTCTTCTACAGACAAAATGGCCGCAGCGACAATGACCTTTCCATTGGACATACGGTACCTTTTGTCTCTTTCAGATATGGAAACACCAATTTTGACAGAAGCACAGGCACTTTGAAGTTGAGGTTGAAGGTCGTGTCGATGTCCTTCTCTTCCAAGTCTTTGATGAAGCCGGTGTACAAAGCACCTGCGTTATTTACCTGGGGGTCGGAGGGAATACGCAGGTACATTTTTGAGTGTTGACTGTCTTTGTGTCTGTCTGTGTGTCTGTTTGTTTGAGTGTACCTCTGTCGGTATCTCTTTTTCAGTATTCCTCTATACACTCTATCTCTGTCTTTCCTTTCTCTCTTCCTTTCATTTTTTTTTCTTTTTCTTCCAATCTGTCTTTTTCACACTCTCTGTCCTTTCTTCTCTATTAACTGTTACTTCTCTCTCTCTCTCTCTCTCTCTCTCTCTCTCTCTCTCTCTCTCCCTCTCTTTCCCTCTCTCTCTCCCTCTCTTTCCCTCTCTCTCTCCCTCTCTCTCCCTCTCTCTCCCTCTCTCTCCCTCCCTCTCTCTCCCTCTCTC